CCTCAGGCTAAGCATACTTCCAAGCTCAGGTCTGCCCCTTGTGGAAGCCCTGTTGTTCACTTCTCCCTCTGATCCAGGGCCCAGTCATCAGGAACTTTCCTTCCCAAGCTGTGACCCAATGTAGCTAAGTCCCTCTTTTCTTCATTTCCCTTCAGAACACCTGAGATAGGCTGACATTTTCTGAAAAGAATTTCACAAGGAGACATGGAAAAACAAAACAGGAAATATTTACAGATAGTATATAAATCTTTAAATATTCAAACCTACTGAACTTCTATATAATGCATTCATTCAAAATAGATTACTGCCACCTAAGTGCCAAACACTGATCATCACTTTAGGTGTGCATGGATTCTCCCAACTCAGAAGCTCACTAGGAGCATTTTTCACTTTTGCATTTTCATTTTTTTTTTTTTTAATAAATTTTAGTTTTGACTGCGTTAGGTCTTTGCTGCACACAGGCTTTCTTTAATTGCGGCAAGCAGGGGCTACTCTTCGTTGCAGTGTGTGGGCTTCTCGTTGCGGTGGCTTCTCTTGTTGCAGAGCACCGGCTCTAGGCGCAAGGGCTTCAGTAGCTGTGGCTCACGGGCTCTAGAGCACAGGCTCAGTACTTGTGGCACACGGGCTTAGTTACTCCGCGGCATGTGGGATCTTCCCGGACCAGGGCTCAAACCCATGTCCCCTGCCTTGACAGGCAGATTCTTAACCACTGCGCCACCAGGGAAGTCTTGCATTTTCTTTTTTTTTTTTGAATTTTATTTTATTGTTTTTATACAGCAGGTTCTTATTAGTTATCTATTTACATTTTTATGATAATCTAAAAAACATTATAAGTCTATTCTTTTCTCTTTTTTTATTTTATTTATTTATTATTTTTGGCTATGTTGGGTCTTCGTTACTACACATGAGCATTCTCTAGTTGCGGCAAGCAGGGGCTACTCTTCGTTGCAGTGCGCGGGCTTCTCATTGTGGTGGCTTCTCTTGCTACGGAGCACGGGTTCTAGGCGTGCGGGCTTCAGTAGTTGTGGTGCACGGGCTTCAGTAGTTGTGGCTCGCAGGCTCTAGAGTGCAGGCTCAGTAGTTGTGGTGCACGGGCTTAGCTGCTCCGCGGCGTGTGGGATCTTCCCGGACCAGGGCTCAAACCAGTGTCCCCTGCATTGGCGGGCAGACTCTTAACCACTGCACCACCAGGAAAACCCATATGAGTCTATTCTTGACCACTGGCATAGCCACTTATACCAGTGCTGCCAACTGAACAGCTAACTTTTACCACAGGTTTCTCATGCTGCCATCTCTGGACATGTTTTCAGGAGGCCGCAAAAGTCTGAAGTTTGGAAAAGGCTGTGTTAACAGATGTAGGTTTTACAATAGTCCTAGCTGAACAAAACTGCTATGAAGACGGTCAAGTCTTACAGCAGAGGGAAGGAATGGGGACTGGAGGGATTCAAAGGAACTTCAGCTCAATCTACAATGCTTAATTTGTTCAAAACCTGTTCATTCCAGGTGGTGGATACACGGCGGTGTTTGTTATATTCTTCTCTGTACTTTTCTGTATTTTTTAAATTGTCATACAAGCAAAGAAAGTTAAGTAATAAAGGAAAGGACGGTAATAAAAATAACTGGTAACTTTTTTTTTTTTTTTGATGTGGACCATTTTTAAAGTCTTTACTGAATTTGTTACAATATTGTTTCTGTTTTACGTTTTGGTTCTTTGGCTGCGAGGCATGTGGGATCCTAGCTCCCTGACCAGGGATCGAACCAGCACCCCCTGCAGTGGAAGGCAAAGCCCTAACCACTGGACTGCCAGGGAAGTCCCTGTGGTAACTTTTTAAACACATTTCTTTAACTCTGCAATTGTCAAATACTTTATAATAAGCAAGTTTAAGCAAAAATAGATATTAAAAAAATTTTTTGACATCAGACTGGATTATTAGACTTAAAAGATTTCCAGCAAGGTTCTTTGAACCTCAGTTTCTCATCTGTAAATGGAATTACCAAGCCTATCCTCATAAGGTTGTTTTGAAAATAAAATAAGACTTAAAGCCTGGCCCACGCGAGCACTCACTATCTGTTAACTTCCTTACTTCTCCTGGAATAAATTTCTTTAACTCAGTGCCATTTTCTTTTGATATGCTTTTTCATAGTAGCTGCTGGTTTTAAATGTCACCCCCAAATTCACACCAGAGCAGTAAGCTACAGATGTTTATTCTTTTTATACCCAACTCTCAACATACTTGTCAAATATGGAGAATATTCAATCTGTTTTGTTCTACCTTCTGAGTTGATATAAATATTGAAAACTCACTCGAAAACCATTTTAAAAGTGTTTTAGCACACTGCACATAGAACTAAGTTAGAAGTACAGAAAAAGGGCAAATAAATGTATATTTGAAATTTGAGGGCAGGACAGTACAGTATATGTCAAACTGTGATCATTTCACAAATGATCTCTGTGAAAAAACCCCTGGGGAGTCCCACACAGAAGGATTTCACTACGAATATACTCTCTATAGAATGATTTAACACTGCACTCTGGGATTGGAAGATTGTGCTATACCTTGGGCCCATAATTCCCAGCTGAACAGGTGGCCCTAGATCGTTAATAGGGTCTGCAGTACGCAGTTTCTGCTGAGCTTGCTTTTTTGTCTCTGTTTTTGTCATGATTTTGAAATACGAGCCTCTCTGCTGCAGAGTCCTCCTGCAATCACGACAGCCCTAGGAAATTATTTTTCATGATTTGGTATCTCCCTGATCCTAGAGAACAAACATCCTTGAACTGCTTGCTCTGTCCCCTTGTTAAAGCATACAACGTGACTCATCTAGAAAAAGTAACTAGAAATTTAGAGTAGGGCAATCAGAAGACTTATGACCTTTCCAGCAAGGTTACTATCAGAGCCCAAGGGTTACTCAGGATGTTCGCAGGTCAATGCCGGTGGGTGAATTTTCTAGCTGTACTCAAGAAGCTGTCATTGGTCAGGCGCCCTGTCTGCGGCCTCTGCTCCCAGATGGCACGGAGGACCAGTTCTCCGGACCGCCACAGCACTTTGTTCAGGTCTTTAGTGTGGCTCTAACTGCTGTGTTTACATGCCCTTTTCCCCTTCTAGACTGTTCACTGCTTGAAGGCAGCCACATTTTACTTTTCTTTGTGTTCCCAGGATCAAGGCATTGACTAGCACATGGGGGAACAACTCAAGTCCTGATTGGGTCTCCAAAAAGTTCAACTGTATTAAGATAGTAGAAAGAAGTGGTTCACAACCTCTTTCACCGATATAAACCACCTCTGTCAACTTACCACTGCCAAAAATGAAACCTTACCTGAACTAACAGTACTGTTTTTGAGACAATATCTATGGAAAGGATTTATGTAATACATTAAGTAACTGCTAGAAACTGAAGTAAAGTCCTTGTCACATTATTGCATTCACTTTGTCCATGGTTGCTCTAACTGTTATGTTAGATTTCTGATTAGTACAAAAATGATAGCTTTCCAAGTTGTGATAGAAGGAGGTTGGTCCTGGGATATCCCTCCCCCAAAGAGGGTCAGTGTCCTAAGGTTCTTGTTTCTCTACCCCAGTAATAGCAACATAGGAGAAAGGCAAAGAATAGAGTGCATTCATTCATCAGTGAGCAACACGGGATACTGAAAGAACACTAGGCCAAGAGCACCATTGGACTAAAGCACTACACTGCTTCCACTTAGCTATGTGGCCAGGGAAAGCTACTGGATTGTTCTGGACCTCTGTTTTCTCATATATAAAGTAAGTTTTAAGATAGAGTCAAGGGACTTCCCTGGCGGTCCAGCGGGTAAGACTCCGCACTTCCAAGGCAGGGGACATGGGTTCCATCCTTGGTCAGGGAACTCCCATGCCGTGCAGCACAGCCAAAAGAAAAAAAAAAAAAAAAAAAAAATATATATATATATATATATATATATATACACACACACACACACACACACATACACAGAGAGAGAGAGAGAGAGAGAGAGAGAGAGAGAGAGAGAGAGAGAGAGTCAAGTACTTCTCAGAGCTTTTAGGATTCTGCTTAGGAGGGAAGGATGGAGGGGAGAGCACACCACACAAGGAGAGCCCAAGCAAAGAGGGCTTTTCAACTTCTGTCAATCAGAACAACTCGGCTCCACTGCTGAGATTCTATGAGTTTACTTAAAAAAAAAAAAAAAAAAGAGCTCTATTGCTAAAAAAAGAAAACTGGCAAATGACCACATGGCATCTCATCCTATATGTTAAAGTGTTCTCCCAAGCTAATCCAATTTTCCCAATAATTTTTTTTTTTTTTTTTTTGCGGTACGCAGGCCTCTCACTGCTGTGGCCTCTCCCATTGCGGAGCACAGGCTCCGGACGCGCAGGCTCAGCGGCCATGGCTCACGGGCTCAGCCGCTCCGCAGCATGTGGGATCCTCCCAGACCGGGGCACGAACCCGTGTCCCCTGCATCGGCAGACGGACTCTCAACCACTGCACCACCAGGGAAGCCCTCCCATTAATTTTTAACTTAGCACATATATAAGCAAGCAGCCATCGTCATTCATTCGGCATATGCTGGATGTCTATCAGGTGTAAGCACTATACTAGGTACTATGGGGACAATGGCGCAGCATTTGAACTCATCTGAGATCAAAATCAGAAAAAAAGATTATAGAGCAAATCTAAAAGCAAAACCCACAATTTATGTCTCTTCCAAGATCTCAGAGTTATTTTCATGGAGTTATTGGTGCAGAAATTAATGTATTAGCTACAAGCAAACTCTCATTTTCTGTTATCTTAATGCTTTGCAGAACAGTGAGAAGAGAAGGCAACGACCAAGAGCAGCAGCACTGATGAATCACGAGGATATTAACACATACTTTGCAGACCAACATGGAAAACTCTGCAAACATCTTAACAACAGTATGGGAACTCTGACAACCATGACCAAAACCAGCCCCTCCGATTTCTGTTTCTAAAACCAACACTATGTGACAAGCACTAAGATCATCACTTACATTCTTCCAGTCTCCTACGCCTCAATTAAATGGGAATGATTCAGCCAACGAAGTTCATGACAACAAGGTGCAGGATGGTGCTGGCAAAGAGAAAATCAGCAAAGGCTCGCTCCGGGGAGATGCCTTGGAAATCCGCTTTGTTTTGTGGGTTGATCTGTATTCTCAGACAAACTGTACAAGAAGAAAAACACAAAAGTGATTATCAAGAAGTATGAAACAAGTATGACTAATGCACACACACATACCCTCTGACCCAAAAATTCTGTTCCAGCAGAAATGACACATAAGTCCGTCAAAAGGCACGTACAGGTATGATACCCATGGTGGCCCCCAACTGGAAGCAATCTAATGTCTATCAACAGTAAAATGGGGAGAATTCCCTGGTGGTCCAGTCGTTAGGACTCAGTGCTTTCACTGACAGGGGCCCGGGTTCAATCCCTGGTTGGGGAACTGAGATCCCACAAGCCAAAAAAAAACCCACAACAACAGTAAAATGGGTAAATTATGGCATATGTATACAATAGAATACCATATAGCAATGAAAAAGAACTTCACAACATGGATGAATTCAGCAAATATCACGATGAGCAACACAATCCAGACGCCAAAAAATACATGCTTTATGATTCTACTTATATAAAGCTTAAAATTGGCCACAACCAATCTACAGTAATACAAATCAGGACAGTGGTTTTTTTATCGTTCACAGGAGATGACTTGGAAGGCAGGAAGAGAGGCCTCTAGGGTACTGATAATGTTCTATATCCTAATCTGGTGGCGGCTAAAAGGGTGAATTTAAAAGTTCATCAAGTTGTACACAAATTTTATGCTGTTACTTGTTTAAGGGAACAATACAACTTCTCAGAGTTAGGCTAAAAACCAAAGGCTTACTGAGAAAAAAAGATATTGATATAAAACCAAAAAATCTTTAGAACTCTCTTATCTCCTGAATTAAGTTTATAATTATACCTAGATCAGGATGTAGTTGAGGCAGTAACAAAGGGGCTAGGCTGAATGACCAAAAGTTATAAAATTGTGAATTATTTCCAACAGAATGTGTATATTAGACAGCAGAGGTGCTTATCCATGAGGACCTCACAATTGTAGATAATCTTTGATCTCAAAGTTCTAGAAGCTGCTTGTCTCAAAAAAGGCAAGAGATCTAAGTTACATGACTTTGACAGAGAACTCTCCACTACCACACTCTGTACCCTTGAAGATTCCAACCTGACACCATAGCCACAGTCACCATTTGACATGAAAAGAAAGCTCTAGGAATACACTTTTCCAAAATATCTTTATACCTGTAACAAATGATTACACTACTTAACCCAAATTTGCTTCAGGCTAGCATCCATTCCATCACTAACCAAGAAAAGGCAACAGACTGAGATCTAACCCAAAGGTCAGAGAACTACCAGACTGGGCTTCCCGGGTGGCACAGTGGTTAAGAATCCGCCTGCCAATGCAGGGGACATGGGTTCAAGCCCCGGTCCAGGAAGATCCCACATGCCGTGGAGCAACTAAGCTCGTGCACCACAACTACTGAGCCTGTGCTCTAGAGCCCGCAAGCCACAACTACTGAGCCCGCATGCTACAACTACTGAAGCCCGTGTACCTAAAGCCCGTGCTCTGCAACAAGAGAAGCCACTGCAATGAGAAGCCCGTGCACCACAATGAAGAGTAGCCCCTGCTCACCACAACTAGAGAAAGCCCACACACAACAACGAAAAACCAATGTTGCCAAAAATAAATAAATAAATATTTTAAAAAAGACTACTTCTCCAGAATCCATCGCCATGGCAACAGAGTCTTCATTATGCTTAAACATGCAAACACTGTAGAAAAACCCCGGATCTTTTCAGGCACCTGAACCCTTCAAAATATGAAGGACACTGCTGAAGCAAGGGCGACCAGTTAAAATCCCACTGTGGTGAGTTCACCCATTTGGGAGAGCAATAGCAACATCTATTATATTTTAAATGTCTTTTGAGTAAAGAATTTATCTTAGAGAACAAAGGCATTCTAACAGCATGTTCGTAAAGTTGAAAAAAAAAAAGTGAAAACAGTCCAAATGACATCAAGGGGATTACTTAAGTAAATTACACTACAGACATGCAATAAAATCCCATGCAATTATTCAAAAGAATGAGATTAATTTGCTAGACATTGACAGTAAAGATGTCTAAGATATATTAAGTGAAAAAAAGCCAAAAATATTCCCTTTCAGATTTCTCTTAAACTGCATACACACACACACACAAACTATTTTCTCATTTATTTTAGTTGGAATCTAGGAAAAAATCTGGAGAAAGAGATACCAAACACGATTAACAGGGGCTATTGGGGTGGAAGATGGGAGTAGAGGAGTGCTTCGAGAAATATGAGGGGACAAAAGGAAAGAGAAGCTCCCCATTAAGGTACACAAAGAAATGAATTGATGTGTTATCATTATCATAATCATAGTAACCCAAGTTGCTTCAATGACAACATAAGAATCAGAATCTCACAGAGATGCAAAGGACCCTGAAGGTCCTAAAGACCAACACCCCATCTAATGCACAAAATACCCAAGAGGTGGCGGATATGGGCATGCCAGGGGAGGCTGCATGAATCAGCTGAGAATAGTTCCAAAGTATACTCACCATATCCAGAATCTGGTAAGTAATCCCCAGGTGCAGAATTACAAACCATCCAGAGCCTGTGTTACTGACAGAGGCAGCAAATCCCTCAGATGCAGGGATATGCCGCCTCTATCAGTAACACAGGCTCTGGACGGTTTGTAATTCTCAAAAAAGGCAAAGAACACCTGTTCAAAATGCTCCTCCACAAAAGATCCTTCAGTCCTTCCTGAGCACTTCCGAAGATGGAAATGTACTACCTCCTAAGGCAGCTTGCTCCATTTTAGCAGTTCTAATTTATCTCCTTAAATAGTCACTTAGTCAGCAAAATATTTACTGAGCATCTACTATGCGCCATGCACTGTCCCAGGTGCTAGGACTATGGCACAGAACAAGACAGACAAGAGTCTGGCTCCCAGGGAACTTACACTCTAATGGAGAGAAACATAATAAATGAGAAAACAACTAAACAAGGAAATATGAGGTAGTGATATGCGCTATGAAGCAAAGCAAGGTAATAAAAGAGTGACTGGGAAGCTATTTCTTATTTGGTGGTCACAGAAGGCTTCTCTAAGAAGGTGCTATTTAAGACCAAAATTTGAAAGACAGGAGCCAACCATGCAAAGGTCTAGGGGCAGAGCATTCCAGATAGCAAGAACAATCTTGGTCGGACTGACCAGAATGTAGGGATCAAGGGCAAGAGGGAGATAAGGGCCAAATCAGTGGGGCTTTGTAAGCTTCAGTAAAGAGTCTGGATGTAGTTGTAAGTACAATGGAGCAATATTTCAAAGTTTTGAGCAGATGAGTAAAATAATCTGATCTAAAATTTTTAAGGATGGTAGAACTGCAATGCGGAGAATGGTCTGCAAAGTTCAAGAAGCCGAAGAGTCATGCAGGAGCCAAAGAGCTCAGGTAATGGTAGTCAAAAGGGACGGAAGTCAAGAGATACAGGCTGTATTTTGGGGAAGACAGGGCTTGCTGATGTAATGGATGTGGGAGATAAGAGAAATCAAGGAATCAAGAAAACCTTCTAGGGAATTCCCTGCTAGCCCAGTGGTTAGGACTCTGAGCTTTCACTGCCGAGGGCCCGGGTTCCATTCAATCCCTGGTCGGGGAACTAGGATCCCATGGGCCGAGCAGCCAAAAAAAAAAAAAAAACCTTCTAAATGTGTGGTTTCAACAACTTAACCAAAGTTGACACCATGTATTGACCAGCGAAGAGGCAAATGGCTAGGCCGGAAGGTTCAATCTGGAGTTGTGTGTTACACATCAAGTGAAGATGTCAAGTAGGCAACTGGACTTACTAATTTGGAATTCAGGGAATAGGTCAAAACTGAAAACATAAATGTGGTAGTTGTAGTTATATAGACATTATTTAAATTTACCTATGGGAAAGAAATACAGAGAAGAGGTCTAGAACCATGCCCTCAGACCAAAAAGCACCTAGCACAAACCATAGGAAGGAAAAACCAATGAGGTGAGAAGGAACAAGCAGGAGAGTGTAGCGTTGCAAAAGCTTTGAGAAGAAAGTACTTCACTCACTCAGAAGGAAGCAGCCAACTATGTTAAGTGCTAAATGTTGCTGAGCATTCAGGCAAGGTGAGGTACATGGCCATTAGATCTGGCAAGATGGCAAGAGCAGTTTCACTGTAGTGGTGGGGACAGACCACCAAGAGTAGGTTAAGGAATGAATGGACAGTGAGAAAGCAGAAACAGCAACTAGACAACTATTCTTTCAAGCAATTCTGTGATGATGGAGCAGAAAGGCATGGAATAGTAGCTGAAGGGGTATCTAAAGTCAAATTAATTTTTTTAATTGGATGATATTAGAGCATGTATGTATGATGGGAATGATCCACTAGAGAGAAATTAATGATGCAGAATGGAGGGATAATTACAGAAGCCGAGTCCCTGAGTGAGCAAGAGAAGGCTGGATCCTCTGCACAAGTGAAGAAGCTGACCTCTGATAGGAAAGGGATATATCATCCACCATTATAGGAAATAAGTCAAAGAGTAGGGGGTCCATGTGTAGGTGGGTTGCTATGATTCCTTGGTAGGAAGGATTTCTTTTTTAGCAAAAAATAAATAAATAAAGTAAGATCATCAACTGAGAATAAAGGAAAAGAGAAAATATAGATGAAAGTGAAGAGAGAAAATATGAAGCATATTTTGGAAAAGCAAACATATCAGGGAAGTATTATAGGACCACTGGGCAGGGTTGAGTGCCTACTTGTGTTCCTATTCTCACCAATACTTCTCCATCACAGCACTATATCCAGGTTTACTCGTCAGCATCTCCCACTAGATTATAAACTCTATGGGAGTAGAGATCATGTCTGCGTGTTCCACAGTACCCTGGCAGGGAACCTGGCACATGATAGCTCAATATTCCTTAACTTATTACAGGCATGCTCACAATTTAACATACAGTGTTAAGCACTGAGGATGCAGAGACGAAAAGAGCACTACACCACTACAGTGTAGTGAAATAGGAATACAGGAGAAAGATCTAAATCTGAAGAGCCAGGGAAGGGTTCAAACGGAAGCAGCACTTGAGCTGAGATGGCTGAGAAGTGAAGGAATTTTCTGGGCAGTCAAACAAAGGTAAAATAGCTTAAGACATCTCGGCATGTTCAGGGAATAAGAAGTAACTCAATAATGCTGGAATATAAAGTACAGAGGAGGTGGAGACGAGATGAAGCTGGAGATGTGGCTGGGACCGGATTATCAAAGACCCTCTATGCCATTAAATTTTTTTTAAATTTCTCTTTGGGTACAGACAAATTTTATGTGGGGAGTAGCACAATCAGATTTGCAAGTCAAATAAAGCCTGCAAACATAGTGGAAGATGGACTGGAGGGAGAGAGATGAGAGTGTGGGAGATCAATAAGGAAGATTACAGTAGTCCAGATAAGAGATATTGAGAGCCTGAGTGACAAAGGATGAAGAGGTAGCAATGGATATGAAAGAGGTTTAGAAACAGAACTGTCAGGCATAAGGCTGGCAAACTTCCAATCTCCTGGATAAGTTATGGGCCCAGAAATCTAATAGATAATTTCCAAAGAAATGCTGGACCCCAGTCCACACAGCCCAAGATCTCCCGTGAGATAGAAAACACTCTGAATTAGGCCTCCTTGCCTTTTCAGATTCAAACTGTTTTTGGATCTGTAAACTAGGGGGAACAAAACTACTTTCTTTAATCCGTAAATATTTCATATAGATTAGAAAACAGAATAGACCAAAGTTGTGAAATGACTTAAAAACTGATTTCAAGATCAAAGACTTATTTTAAGGACAGTCTTATTGTTTTCCACTCATCCCTCCAAAATAGCACTTTAAATGAGCAAAAAGAGGGATTTCAGTTAGGTAAAAAAGGAAACTAGAAGGGCTGCCAACACTGACACACTACTCTGAAAAAGGGACAGATGTCCTCCTCTAGAGAGATCTAACCACAAGATAAACAGTCAGCTGCTGAGAATGTTTAAAATCTGTCTGAAAGAAGAAAAATATTTTATCTTTGAAGTCCTTTCAAAGCCTACTATACTTTAAACTGTTGATCCAAAAAAAGAAGAAAAAGGTTTCTCAATGGCAATTTTCTACCTCTGTCTCCTTGAAACTATGGTTAAGGTTCCTGGTCATGAGGAACAGAAAAAAACAGACCATTTTCATCAGGCCCAAATAACACCAGGCTTTTTAAAAAATGTGATAGTATCCTATATCGGTTTAAAATGTACTAATCAATTTCCAAAGAACATATGCTACATAACACATGCAGAAGGAATAGAAGAGAACAGACTGCCAAAAAAGAAATTAAGGGAACCAGGCTAAAGAACTTCTCCCTCCAATTCATCCTACACATTAACACCAATTTTAAGTCACTCCTTTACTTAAATCTAAAACTTTTTTAATCCGGGGCTTCCCTGGTGGCACAGTGGTTGAGAATCTGCCTGCCAATGCAGGGGACACGGGTTTGAGCCTTGGTCTGGGAAGTTCCCACATGCCACGGAGCAACTAGCCCCGTGAGCCACAATTACTGAGCCTGCGCGTCTGGAGCCTGTGCTCTGCAACAAGAGAGGCCACAACAGTGAAAGGCCTGAGCACCGCCATGAGTGGCCCCCACTTGCCACAACTAGAGAAAGCCCTCGCACAGAAATGAAGACCCAACACAGCCATAAATAAATAATTTTTTAAAAAAAAAAACTTTTTTTAATCCTTAGATGCATTCCTATTACAGGATAAAACTCCTTGGCCTGGCACTCAAAGCTCTAGCATCCAGCACTACCTAATCCTTCAAGGTAATCGCCTACAATTCCCTTTCTCAGCCAAACTGGCCTCCTCCGTTCTCTTCCAATAGGAAACACAACTCAGGGAAGTTAGAAACCTCAGCACTATAAATAAGTACAAGCCTTCCCTTCCCAACAACCAGAACAAAGGATAAACTCCAAATTTAAAATTTCCCATTAAAACCAGTATCCAGGGCTTCCCTGGTGGCACAGTGGTTAAGAATCCACCTGCCAATGCAGGGGACACAGGTTCAAGCCCTGGTCCGGGAAGATCCCACATGCCATGGAGCAACTAGGCCCACGTGCCACAACTACCGAGAGAGAGCCTGTGTGCCACAACTACTAACACCCACATACCTAGAGCCCATGCTCCGCAACAAGAGAAGCCATCCCAATGAGAAGCCCACACACCGCAACAAAGACCCAACGCAGCCAAAAATTTTTTTAAAAAACAGTATCCAGTTGAGGATCTGAGCTAACAAATGGCAGCAGTGGCATTAGTAAGGTCAAGTCTGTCAAAAGAAATGCAAACGATACCCTTCCTCAGCAACTCTGAATTGTCTTGAATCCCTTCTTTTCCTGAAGCAACTTTCATTTCCCTGGCCCAGTTACCAATTATCCAACACCTACGGACATCAGAATCCCCCAAAAGGACCTCAGTATTAAACTGCCCTTTCACTAGGCATTCTCTTCAATGACAGGCCATCAACTTCTCATTGAGGAGGAGAGTAGGGGGTCTGCCAATTCAACTTTAGCCACAACAGCCTCAAAAAAAAAGACTTGGCACTGGAAAAATTATCTGCTCAAAAAATCTTCTGACTTTTATCACACCAATAATCTGCAACTCCAGTCCACATCCACTCTTCTGCAAACCACTCTTCCACGTAGCCCTTGAGAAGTCATTCTTAACCCTAGAAGCTTATGAAGCCAGGGTGACTTCAGCACAAAGAAGGCTTTTTTTTTTTTAAATCACCTTTTAGGCCCCACCCTATTCCTACTCTTTCCAGACCTGGAAAACAAAATCAGACATTCTCAAGATTCCTTCTCCTGGGACTTCCCTGGTGGTCCCGTGGTTAAGATGCTGTGCTTCCAATGCAGGAGGAGTGGGTTCAATCCCTGGTCGGGGAACTAAGATCCCACATGCCACGTGGTGGCCAAAGAAATAATAAATAAATAAATAAAATTAAAAGATTCCTTCTCCTGTCTGGCTAATAAAATTCTTAGTCATGAACAGTATTTTAGGGAAGGAAGGAGGAGTCTAGAGCAAAGAGGGTAGTATATCTGATGATGGTAACATATAAACTCCTGTAGACCAGGATGCTGCTACAGAGAACCAGGTCTTGGTCATCTAAGCCAAAATTCAAAGATGTACAGGCTAACTCTGCAACTCCAGGCCAGGCTTACTGAACTAGTCCTTAAGTCCTTAGACTTATCTTAACTTGAGAAACAGAGTATAAGGTAGAGTATCTCTGGCATGAGTCTGAACTAGCAATTTGAATGTGTAATAAGCATTCTATAGGTTTCTAACTTTAAGCTGTAATTAAGACTCCACTGTAAATGAAGTCTCCAGACGCTGTATTTTGTCTATGCCCCAATTACACTGTAAACTCGTTGAGGACAAGAAACATATACCAGGTGTATCCCCAAAGCTTTTACCATACCTTGTATGAGATTCAAAATACAATTTACAATGTGACTGTTGATGATCACACGTGGAAAAAAAAAAAAGGAATTTTGGCATGTTTTCCAAGTCATGAAGCAGGTGATACCATGACTGGAAAAGTTCATGTGGTAGCCACCTATAAAATGTACTGGCCAACACTCCCTGGGCCAAGCCTGGACTCAGTATTCAGTGAATCCCTGTTGAGCAAGAAAGGTCAGATTTTGGCAAAAATATATGGGGACAGTCGGCTCTCATTAAATATAGCAGTCTACAAGGTATCAAATTTCCTGGGAATCAGAATAATAGAGCTAAAATAGACCTATGTGAGTGAAAACTGAGTTCAGGATAGTGAAAAGACAGCTTCAGAGTTGGCTTTTCCATTTTACAAGTTTACCAACTTCAAAGTTGTGTTAAAGCTAAGTGAAAGTTGGGAGTTTTCCATGGACCAATATGAAGTGAAGTGGATCACCAGATTGAACAGCAACATGAAGGTGTTTCCAGATTTAATCCCAGCTCCTCGGCGGCTCTTTGGTATTAGGCACGACAACCTGAATGTACCTCAATTTCCCCATTCACAAAAAGGGCAATGCAGGTTCCTCTCTCAACTTCACGAGGCGGTGGTCTCATATAGAGACGAGTACTGTGGGAATAAAAGCACGCATCAAAGTAACACATTATAACTAATATCACTTATAGAATCATTCATTACCCGCTAGGATAAAACTCCCCACACAGGAGATGAAGCCCGAGAGGAAAGAGTTGAAGGGGAAGGTCCCCACGAGGAGACAATAACCGAATTGCAGCGCCCCGGTCAGCAGTATATACAGGAGGTACGCGTCCAACAACTTCAGACGCTGAGGAGTGGAGCTCAAGTACTCTTCTAAGAACCGCGAGATGACCGACAACACCGACGCCGACATGACTACACGCTCGATATTCCGGCCGGCGTACCCCAAACTCCTAGCGGAACCGACGACCACACCGGATGTAGTGTCGGCGCATGCGCAACGCTTGGAGCCCAGCTCCGCCCTCCCCAATTTGCTACGTTGCGCAGGCGTATAGGCCGGCCAAGGCACGAAACAAGTAATGCGCAGACGCAGAATATATCTACAGAATGAGAACTACAGCCAGAGAAAGCTAATGCGCCTGCGCAACGGATCTCTCCGTGAGCTGGAGACGTGTATCTTTTTGTGCTATTTCCGCCGTCATGTTGGTGACGCCCACAGTTGCTCCAGCAACAAGATTGTGTGGGAGGGAAAGGGGAAGAGGTTTTTCAGCGGACAGCGGTTCTCTTTGGTCCACCAGCGTCCTCAAAGATGAACTATTTGGATCTGCTTTAAGGCAATGTCTGGCTTTTCGCGGTTCAGTACCCGCTCGGTCCTAATTCTGTTGAGGGCGCTAACTGCAGATGCCTGTCCCAGATCATTAGAGCAAGTCAAGTTGCCCCGCAGTGAGAACCACGGCGGCCGGTCACTGAGCAGGCATCAGTTTAGACTTGGTTATTGGAGGAGGGAAGTACGGAGCGGGGTTGGGGAGCTCGACCTCTACCCGGGCCTGAACTCGATTTGCGATCTGGTCCTTGGGGACGCTTACGAGTAAGCGCAGTGGAACCTAAGCCCGCAGGGGTTCATTCATTCAGCAGACAATTATCGGGTGCCTCCTCGGGCCCACGTTTTGCCAAATTATAGTTCGTTATGCTAGAGCGTAGGTATCCTCAGGGGAATCTGATATAGTCGTAAAAGAGCTGGTGATGGGCAGGGGCGGGGAGAAACTCCATTAAAGTGCATAGAGTATATGATCAAGTTTAGCAGCCTCCTACTCCCAAGCTGTCATCTTGAACCCGTCGTACTATCCCAGGATGTCAGCGCTAAAAGACCTGCAAGAGCATTGCCTGGTGCCTGGTTCAAGCCCTACCCTCTCCAATTTATTTTGCAGAGGAAACTAAAGGTTTGAGGTTTTGTATTTTAACAAGTGGGATTAACTATTTATACTTAGCATTTTAACTTTTTTGAAAAATAAGATCCACCTTAGTTTCTGGCTTTTGCTGCCCTTTTAATTTAACATGAATCTGACCTTCCAGACTTAGTTCATCTCACTCTCAGCTGCAGGTGGTACATAAACCAGGTTCTTTTTCAGCTTATTAATAATTTTGAACTATCCTAGGTACTGAAGCAAAATTCCTAAAACAGCAAGTAAATGACAACCTTCCTTCATTTTCACTTCTTATTTGTGTTTAAACTGGAACCAAATCAGCATCAACAAATGTACTGATTATCAGTCATGAGCAAAACCTTGCTTAGTTCTAGAAAGAAGAGAAATAATCCATGTCCTCAGAAAGATTTACAATCTCTTTAAAAAGATATATTCATATTCACACCCACGGAGATTTGCACTGTTATGAGAACTTAAGTTCAGTCTAAGCTCTTTTATGTTGCTGAGGGGAAAAAAAAAATGTGGATAACCAGACCAGTTCCTATTTCAATATAATAAGGCAAGAAGCATCAGTTTCTCTGACAAGTTGAACCTTTCTCCCTGTCTCATCAGTAAGTAGGAGGGTAGCTTCCTCACCAGTATTCAACTTCAAACTTTAAAGGCTAGGCTGATGCTTTTTAATCATTTAGGAGTGGATTCCTCAGGGAAATCAGCCAGGCTCCTTCCAATAGTCTCTTCCGTATGTTTTGTCTGCCTTTCATCCATGTCAACTATTATCATAACATCTCCACAGGAACTCCCAAAGGGGGAAAGCAGAAGAGATGAAAAATTCACTTACTGAATGTATCCTTTTCTGAGATCTGCAAAGTCAAACACGAATATAATGACCTAAAGCTTTCTGGACTACTTAAAACAGCAAGAAGAGGTCTTCTGTGTTCAGTTTATGATTCTATAATCATTGAAACATTTTTTTGACTGATTTCTCAGTGGGAAATTGCTAACATAATGTTGGTTTCAATATTTTAAATCAGCACTTTCACATATGTAAAAAGTCATGTCCTGAGTAGTGGACATGCTCAAGAGTCAGATAATCCTGGGTTTCTGCTGTTTGCTAGTTATCTAATCCAGGACAAGTTAGTTAGTCTGACAGCCTCATTTTCCTTTTCTTTAAAATGGAAATAAGAATACCTGGCTTGTTGGGACTTAAGTAGAAATGGGCAACGTGAGAGCTGTGAGTTTCAGTTTTACTTGGGGACTTACTGAGAACTATAGCTCAGTAGACAGTGTCCACGTAGCTCTGAGGAACTGCTCTGAAGAGGTCGGGGGAGGTGATTTGGGATAAGTGCATATATGTGATTTTGGAATAAGTGCAATCAAGCACACATCTTGGTAGAGGGCTACTGCTAGTCATGAGGCACAAATATCTTAGTTAATGATTTTAGTGCTTTTCTAAGTATGGGAAAATGCAAGAAATTGTGTTGCAGGAAAATGGGGCACGAGAAGATGGTCACATCCCAGGTCTTGGGAGAGTCCCTGGGATGGGCCACCAAGTGAGGGTCCTTGGCTTCCTGCAGGAAAGAATTCAAGAGCTAGCTGAAATAGAGTGAAAGCAGATTTATTCAGGGAGTTACACACTCCACAGACAGAATGTGGGTCATCTCAGGAGAGAGGCCCCAGAGTATGAGGTCGTTAGTTTTTATGGGCTGGGTAATTTCATAATCTAACAAGTGGGAGGATTATTCCAGCTATTTGGGGGAAGGGGCAGAAATTTCCAGGAACTGGGCCACTGCCTACTTTTTGGCCTTTTTTGGCCAGCCTCAGAACTGTCATGGTGCTGGTGGGTGTGTCATTTAGCACGTACATGTATTACAGTGAGCTTATAATGAGGCTCAAGGTCTACTGGAATTCGAATCTCCTCCCATCTTGGGCCTAGTTGATTCTAACCAGTATTTGTCCTATCCTCTACGGCTGTGTCGTTCTTTATTTTTGGGGGGGCCAGGCCACATGGCTTGTGGGATCTTAGTTGCCTGACCAAGGATTGAACCCGGGCCCCTTCAGTGAAAGCGTCAAGTCTTAAGCACTGGACCACCAGGAAATTCCCCTGTGTGTCATTCTTTTAAAGGTTGTGTCCTGCCCCCGTCCCTCCTGTCTCAATTGGGTTCATAAAATTTTCTCCTGAAAATATCTATCTGAAGACCTGTTCTGCCAGTTTTCCCAAAGCATAGAGTGACCTCTGCCCTGAACTCCTTTCAGTGTGTACTGAAGACCAGCAACCACAGTGGCTGATGACTCAATCCTTTTAGAGTTGGATGGTGAGAGTGACCTTCTTTAGTTGGCAGGTTGTGGGGATTAAATGAGATAATGTTAACATTAAGCATTTAACATAGCACTTGACACAGAGTAAATGTTCAGGATATATTTGCTCTTATCAACTATCAATAACCCTGGTAATTAACTATGTCTGCTTCCCTATTTTTCTGAATAATTAGAAGCTGGGAAAGCACAGAGCCCCAATATTTTGGGCATACAAAATATTGGGTACTGGAGGGACTTCAACCCAGATGGCTCTCAGAGGGCAAATCAAATTTATAAGTTGAAGCTGCAGTCAGAGTAGACCTTAGATGTTTTGTTACTAAAACACTGAGAAGAAAAACTGTTTCCCTCTAATCAGGTTCATTGGCCCTATAATTTAGACTGACAAAAAACAGATTAATAAGAGAAAAACAAATAATTTTCCTAACATATGCATCGCACATACACAGTGGAGCACTCAGTTACAAGTAACTCAAAAGGGTGGTTAGAACTTGGGCTTATATAATGTTAACAAGCAAGATTCAACTCAATAAAATTTAAAGATTTTATTGGCTTTATTCAACAGTTCATGAGTTGGGCAGCATCCAACCAGCACATAGAAAGGCACTCTGAGGAGCTATCTAAAGAGACTTTTATAGGCAGAAGGGAGAGGGAACAATTAGATTATACTAGACAAAAAAGCAGTTTGGTTACGGCAAGGTCACTTTCCTTTAGCGGATGGCAGGGGTCTATTAGGCAGATTACCTAACTAGTACTGATCAGGCAATCCCTGATTGACTGGTTTAAGATTCCATTTCTGGGAGAGCTGAAATTGTAATTAAGTTAGCATAAGTGACTCCATTTTGAGCCTGTTGTCTTGTTTTTAACAATAGCATCTTAACAAAAAGAGCAATAAATTTTTAGAGAAGTAACAAGACAGAGAAAAAGAACTTTGAGTTTCTAGGGCAGCAAATTGTGAGAAAGTAAATATGTGAAGCATTAATGAAAAATAAGGGCTAATTAGTGACGTTTGTTATGTAGATTTCTCTGGTGCCCTCTCTGGGCTGGTAAGGAACTAGAGTTCTGTCCTTCCTGGTAGAGAGAGGAGGGGAGACATCTTTCTGTCCTGCTTTTAGGTAAATAGGAGGAGGGCAGAGAGCCATCCTTGTATCTGCTTCTTCCCAGTTGCCTTCAGCTCAAAATAATCCTTATGCTAAGGTGGCATATTTTGGGGTGGCATATTCTGCTACCCTTCAACACTCAGCATCATAAAACAATGGGAAAGTAGAAGGGCAAGAAAGGTCCCCTTATAAACAAAGGCCATGATTTTACAATGTATCTCTCTACAGTAAGAAATGACATTCTTTATCAAAAGAAAGACAACTCCTCCAAAGAAGAGGACTCTCTAAAGAAAATCTCTGCATGAGAGTCTGTTTTCCAATTCTTTTCCCTTGTATTTTCACTTTCTCCTTCAGATCCCTCCTTTTGCTTCTCTCTGCTATTGCATGTAACAGCTCCATCTTTTAAACTTTGGCCCTAGTGTGGCCCAAACCCCCTTTCCTTGTATGATAGTGTGATATAACCAGAAATATACATTTGTTCTTCATCTCGGTTCCTGACACAGAACTCCTTAAACCCTCATTATTTCCTAAGTGGTAAGAGCAATAGGAACATCTTTTGTTATAATACTTGTTTTTGTCCCCAGTTTCAGAAATAGCTCCAGAGCAATAAAGGTAGAAGGAATGTCTTTTGTTATTCG